AATATCGTAGTTTACTTTAGGCGCGATTAATAAATTATCGTGACTATGGGTACGGTTCCCGTGGCATAGTTATGATACGTAACCCTAATTCGAGTGTGCGTTTCACGTGACTCGGCCACAACTTCAAATAATAATAAAAATAAGCCTGTCGTAAATTGCGGGTGCATTTCATGTGGCGCGGTTTGCGACGTGTGCCAAAACGACAAGTGTACGACATCGTGACTTGTTCCAGAAATAATTCCATAAATAATTAAAAGCGGTTAAAAAGTAAAAATGCACAATAGGCTTTAAATATGTATTAAATCAGATAATTAGGCCAAGTATTAATTGTTAAGCGACCGTGCTAAAACCACGGAACTCGAGAGTGCCCCACACCTTCTCCCGGGTTAACAGAATTCCTTACCCGGTCTTCTGTGTTCGCGGACCATAAATAAAGTCAAATTTCCTCGATTTGGGATTTAAAATAAACCGGTGACTTGGGACACCATAAATTATCCCAAGTGGCGACTCTGAAATAAATAAATAATCTCATTTCGATTAATGTCACTTAAATTGGAAAAACTCTCTTATTCCCCTAACTATCCCATACCCCTTCGGGAAAAAGGAGGTGTGACAAGCCACACCAAGCCCGCCCTACCCATGCTCTTCCTGAATTCCACCTGGATTTCGTCAGGACTGATCGCTCTCCCCCTGTTCATCTTACACATAGCCCCCTCAACCTCCTCGATTCTTATACGCCTACAATATCCAAAGTCTCGATGACACTCAAAGTGTTCTAAGTCGCCTAGCTCAAATCCCAGTCGCGGTCCACATACTACTCGCGTCCCCACTACTCCTCCATGCCCCCATAGCCAGCAACTTATCTCCCAACTCTTGTGCTCTGTCTTTTGTCAAAGCTCCCCACTTGATCCTAGGTAGACCAAACACAACCCTCTTTCTTCGCTTCCTCATGATCTCTAAATCCCATGACTAGAAGCCTATGTTGAGTCGTGAGGTTTTCACTTGGGATGACCTTACCGTCCGCGCACAGACCTTTATCAGACTTTATGAAGAGTAGATAATCAATCTGGGTCCTGGCCACTGAATTCTGAAAGGTGACCAAGTGTTGCTCCTTCATCGGGAAACTAGAGTTAGCTATCACCAAATCAAAAGCTTTAGCAAAATCCAGCAGGGACGTACCACCTCAGTTTCTAACTCCAAAACCAAAATCGCCATGTACATCATCGTAGCCCCCTGACATCGCCCCAATGTGGCCATTGAAATCCCCTCCTATGAAAAGCTTCTCAGTGTGCGGAAAATGCAAGGATCACGCCTTAAATATTCAAGGATGGTATCATCTTTTCTAGATTATGGTTCAATTCATTTTGAAGTACTAGCTAGCAAAACTGTAATGAACTGGGATTTTTCAGTCTTCATTTGTTTAAAATGACAAAATCGTAGTTCTTTATGTTACAACAGTGAAGTTGTTCTCTCATGTGTACAACAATTACAAGTTAAGAACCACATTCTGGCTTCCTGCAAACTGATAAAACAGAAAGCATTACCTATGAGACAAACTGATTTACCATCTTATGAATAAGTTAGACACGAATATAATGGTATACATTCAGCATTGGCATTTCAGCTAACAATCGCAGGCAAAACTGCTTTAAGCAACAGCCCAAAACCTTTTCCTGCAAAATAAGACCGGCTCCGACTTTTTCTGATGGTCTTCTAGAAAATGTAGTTGGACGTCCCAGAGAAACTTTGGTGCAAGAGCTTGGATCCTTGATATGATAGATTCTTTATCTCTAATAATGATAAATCCCTGCATAAACTTGAGAACATTAAGTTTGTTCACAATTGAAACTTCTACATGAATATTCACATGTCACAATTACTCAATGGATATACCAACTGGATCCTGTTATTCAGTTGACATAAATATGTAATATCTCTTACATCGAAAGGGAGTCTCACTTTTCTACACATAATTAGTTAAAAAAGAAATTTTGAATTTGTCACAGTTCCACTAATCCGAAGAGTCCTTTAAAAATCCTTACATTGGAACATTTTTCCAGCTACATGAATGATCATACTAACTCTCATCCAAAACACTGAGCTCGAAGAAAAATTGGGGAGCCGTTATGTCAATTAAAACTCTATGAAGAAGTTGTCAGCGCAAAACTTGAAAACAAGTAGTAGAATGTCTAAGTTTTGCTTGGGAAACTAACACACTTTCGAGTTCCATCTCTACGCTATTTTCAACAGATGTGGAGATCAAGGATTTATGTTTTCCATTGGTATTGATAGAAACGAACATATAGTGAAATGTCAAAGTTTGTAAATTAAGTTGGTTAATATATAAAGGAACTACTCATCCAATCAGATACCATAATTTCCGAAATTCCATGTTCTATACTGTGGAATTGAGTTCTCTTTTCACCCTGTCTGTTCACTTGCTTTTCCTCATTGTGACTGTTAAATGCATTTTGCTAATTTGTAAACCTGGTTTGTACTCGAGAAACAAATGCTACCTTTACTGAGGGGGTTATATCTTTCACATATGTCATTTATCGAACTAATAGACTTGTTCTGATTTTTCTGAACTATGAAATGCAAACAATCAGTCTTACAGATGCTTTCAGTTTATCAATTGATTAACTATTTTGTCTCTCAAGCATCAAGTCGGAATGAAAATCCTTTACCTGAGGTCGTAGAATACGGTCCATCTCCAGCATGATATCTTCAACTCTACAACCTTCTTCACGATCTTTATAGTGAGATAGAAGATGATTGGCATGCAACAAATCATAAGTGCGGGGATATGTGGAGAATGGCTCACACCTACGAATTTGATTAGATATTCTGTTATGGCACTTGTAATTCAGATGAGAGCTTATAGGTAAGGTACAATGAATTAATAGCATACCAGTCATGAAAAACGCCTGTAAGACCCCTTCCATAAACGGCAGACAGGGTGTTATTCATGGTTACAGGAACTACATTCATTATCCAAACAGGCCATGTATTTAAGCCAACCGCAAACCCACCAAGGAAAGCACTCATGTCCATTACATTATGTATTTCTTTCACCTCAACATTCATCAGTCTCCAGTAATGGCGAACTTGATCTTGCCAATAGATTGTATCCTTTAAGAACTTTTCATGATCAATACCTGCAAGAAATGTATTGAGCATGTCAGACGTAATGAGAGTTCCGAAAAAATGAAAGGAAAAATCTCCATGAATCTATCTTGATCAGAATTATACACAAGGAATAGGTGTCTTAGTAGTCCCGTGTTAAAAGCACAGCAACAGCCTCAATTAACATTTTAGGCCAGAAATGATCTTTTAGAGGAGATAATAACATTGACGGTTGAGGAAAAAATAACACTAACAGTTTGAGAGAAATGAAAAGGAACCACAAATGCAACCTTGCTGATTGAAAAGGCCAACTCTCATGTGCAAGAAATATAGAAATGGTTGAAGCTAGAAGAAGTAATAGGATGAGGAAAAACCCCAACTCAACAGCGACTCCTTGTTTGTTCCATCTTAAGTTGAATATTTTTTATTCAGTTATTAGGAGATTGTCTAATTTGGAAACAAGAAAGGCATCTTTTAGAAGTTTCACACTTCTCCAAGAAATACAATAAACATTCCAAAATTTAACAACAGATTCTTAAGTCGCCGAAAAAAAAGAGAGAAACAGGAAAGGGTTTCAAAAAGTTGTGAAGCGGAGCCTTCACATCCCCTCTTCCACAAAATCTTTCATGATAGCATGCAAACAATTCTTGCGATCACCAGAAATCTTATACTCCATCTAACATACTATCAGAAGAAGCTGGAAATTGCATTGGAACATACCTGATATAAAGTTTTCTTCCCCCCTAGAAGGCATGTGATTGAATAGATTCATAAGAGGTTTTCAAGTACCTTCTCAATGCTAGCGGATACTTTTCTTGCTAACCACATCTATTTGAGTTAATACTTCTATAGCATGAAAGAGAGTTTTATAATAAACTACTCTATACTTTTTATCGGATGTCCCTAAAGTGACCTACCCAATTATACTTTTGTTTAGTTGTAATATAAATGCGGACAAATAAAGCATTGCCGGACAACTGGAATAGCTGCCGCCATATATTAGATCATGCAAAGATTTTTTCACTTATCTAAGACAATTTTAAACGGATTTCCTTGAAAAAACAAGCTTACTACACTGCGGATTATCTTTTTTTGAAGATAAAAGGGGGTTATTTCAACTTTTGTGGACCATTATTTAGCCAGAAAATTAAGATCTTAAAATAAAACTCGAGCACTGAGAAAACCTTTAGCTTGCAAGCTACTAATATCTCTATATTTGTAGGAAAACAACATCGTCATTGAAAGCATCAATGCGTTAACTTTTTCAAAACCTCACATTGTTAGAGCCTACCTAGTCATTTCATCATCACGTCTCTGCCATCACTACTCGATATTTAAGAAGCAACATAGCCACTTGTTATCCAAGAATGCTATCACATACAAATGCTAGAGAATTGAGATTTCCATCATTATGAATCGTTACCTATTTTAAACTGCTGGTTAAAGAAGACTATAAAAAGAGCCGAATGAATATGATCAAGCAGAAGCTCCTGACATGCTAGGCCATGCATATTCGTTCTGATTCTCAACAGCATAATAAAGAATTAAGATTTGAACTTTGCGCTTCATGAGGGACATATTCACTAAAAGTGATTCGAGAACTAAAACAGGAAAACTCATCAATACACCACACCAAGGAAGAGAATTGACAAACCTATCCGACTGAGACTTTGTGTATATTCTGAAAGACGTTGTGGTCGAGGAGGTAGTTTCTTCAAAGAAGACGAACTATCACTAAGGGTAACACAGTTCCTCAGAGGTGTTTTCCACGATGGCTTCAAATCATCCTCAGAATCACATAAGTTTACAAGCTGCTCCTGAGCGTTATGCTGAAGACATGAATTATCTTCTTGCTTAACCCATATTGCTGTCTGAACTTTCTGTGCAATAAGCTTCCAGCACATTCCAGCAGTTAGATTTACTAATTTGTCCCATATCTCTGGGAAATCTTTATCCTTTCTATAGGCAGGAGGAGCTGAATAGACAAAATATCCATTTGATCTTAATATGCGATTCACTTCTTTGAGTAAAATACCATCTGCACGCGCACCCAAATGATAAAATACTTAGGCATTGTGAAACAATAATACTGTGTTTACATAACATGCACAGCTAACATATAACTCTGTCGGTTTTAACCTATGAAAAGTCTACTTAGATTTAATTACCTTAGGAGAACAGAGTCATAAGCATAGTTTGGAAAGTTATGTACCATAGTTTGAAACTCAGCTATAACAGTTTAGTTGCCACGAGAGTGTCTTGAGTAAAGTCTACATTGACATAAGAAGAATAAGCTAATAGCTTCATGATAATCAAGCTGGTGGAACAAGAATATTATGGAAAGATATCTAAGGCCTTGTAGATTCTAACACAACATTAAGTTCATTGAGATTTCCAAAATTATGTACCATTCTACTGTTAACATGCAGGATGTAGACAGCCGAATAATTAGATATAGTTTCCTTATTTAACGTAAAGCAATTACATCTAGGTCAATTACATTTAAGCATATAAGGCTCGCATGTTCAATAAAAGAAACACTCACCATTTTCATGCCAATCAACTCGACATCTGGAACAATGGACCATGTCAAAAGAGTTACTTGGATACGGTAGCTGCTTCGTAGCTAAAGCAGATATCATAGCACCGATTCCTCGTTCCAAAGCAAATTGAATCTGATTCTCATGACCATCTTTGGGAGCAAAAGATAGTGTTTCTATATTTAGAGGAAGAAGATAGGCAGAGAAACTAGCAACCCCACAACCAACATCAAGCACCTGATATACCCCTGCTGCACGCAAGTCACCAGTCTCATTGGTTGTCATATTTCCTAACCTGCATCGAAGAAATGAATTTAGTACATCAGCTACATAAAAGAATGGTAGCATGAAGGATTGACACTCGTGTGTATCTAGATACAAGGTGAAATGATGCAAAATTGAAGATTTTCGTTAATAATTTGCATTGTTTAAGATGTTTATTAGACGAATTCAGTTAAGATTTTTCGAGAAATCGTATATTATCAAATTTTCGTGATCAACTACAAAATAGTATACTGATTTGTATAACCAAGCTCATGTGTGTTGTTGAAAAGCCATTGACATTTCTTTTATGATGGCGGTGTTCGGGCAAATTATTGACATGTTAGAAAACTTTGAAACACCCGGCACAGAGGAAACTATATCTGATCCTCATAATAGGAAAAAATAAGCTTTCCAGGTAAGCCCAGCCTCACTTGGCGCACTTCACATCCCCAAAAGTGAGTCGTGACAATTCGACTCTTGGGTATTGAAAGGGGACAACCTTCTTAGGACTAAGGGTGTAAATGATTCTCACCATTCTTAATAAGTGTAAATGGATCATCTAGTACAACATAAATTAGCTTCGTTAAATTGCTTTAGGAAAGCCATCGTGTGTTTCAAATCGATTTTCATTTTGCATGCTTATGACAGGAAATAATGTAGTAGAATTATCAAAAGGCTGCAACTCCAACAATCACATGGGCAGGAGAAGTGAAAGAGAAACAGAACCTATACCTCTCAATATATTCTGTAGCTCCATGCTTAAAATGAGTTCCACCACCTGGAAACCACCAAAGCTGATCCTTCTCATGTACCCAATTTTGTCCTCCTTTTACCTCCGCAAGACGTGTATGGTTTACATTACTCCGCCATACATAATCCCTGCTAGTTGGCCACCTTATTGGTATCTTATAGTCAGCTGGAGGTGGCACCAAACAAAACAAGCGCCTTTCAAGTGGAGGACAATGCCTCTCTAGCTCTTCTTTCCTTGAAAGATCTAATTTTGGCATCAATTCTTTAACATAAGAAATGTCATGACAGGGGATATACTCATTAAATTTCAGAGGACATACATTTATCCCAGTTTCAGGGATTGTGAGGGGTACCATCCGATATGAAAGAGCAATCTTGTTCGTAAACTTCAGAACACCTGCATGCATATTTTTAAATACATGGATCCGAGATTTCAATAATAGGAAGCCAGTAAAACAAAAATGCCTAGCAGTCAACGAAAAGAGAGTTAATTCTGAGAGCTCAACGTTCAACCAACTAGGGACTGCTCTCCCCAGCAAAAGAAAAATGACACAGGGTGAGAGTAACAAATTTAAGGAAGTAAAATGGTAAGAGAAAAAACAGGACACAAATTCACATGGACACACGTTGACTGCCTAACAGATTGCCTCTCAGTTTCTAGACGGAATTCCTGAGTAGTAAGGTTGACAAGCAGGAAATTGGAAGCAACATGGGCAAGAACAATATGGATTTTGTCAACATGCCTTGAAAATCCTCAAAGAAAAAGTTCAAACAAACCGTTCAGAAGCTGTAGTGCGGAAAAGGCTGGACCCAGCTGTAAACATCATACCAAAAAAATTCAAGTTTCTAACTTCACTGTGCATGCGGGAAAAAAAACGATAAAATGCTCCTATTACAGAAGTAAAGCCTGAAAACAGAAACAAGGGAGGAAGCTGAATCAGAGTGAAAGCGTTTTTTGCACAACCAACTCACAATATCTGATATAGTCCCATCTCTGTAAGTATTGATGCTTAAAAAAGGAAAGATGACTGCTAAGGATGAGTAGGGATTAAGAGTTAAATAGTCACACAGTCAAGAACAAATTTACTACACGTCATGGAGGAGTTTTTGGATAAATTAAATGGGATAAGTATTTCCCTATATTGGATCTAAGGTCACGATACCGCCAAATCACGATGCTTCAAACTGATATACCAAATATTTCTCTTAGGAAACACCAAGGACGTTGCAAATCATGTTGATTCCTTTTGCCCTAAAATGCTATCTCAACCTTTCAACGGCCGAAGCATAAGGTTTCTGAACCTTAAGAAGGTTAAATTGGGGGTTTCTGATGATATCCTCATCTACAACCCTTGCCGGGATTATTACGGGACATATTATGACATACATTACTTACAAGCATTTAAGCCACCTCTTATGAACATTCCAATTACTGACTACCAAAATTGCAACTTTCTACCAAACTACTTGACAAAATATAAGCCACTGAAGGATTAACGCCTCTGTTTTAACTAAGTAACCGCATATTTATTTCTAACAAGCCCCAATAAAAAATAATCAGAACAATGTCCATGCGGATAAGCCTCAACAAGAAACAAGTTTGCTCATGCATAACATAAAGATCAGATTCAAGTACCAGTGACATAATCTCTGATCTATAGGGAAATGCAGATTCATCTAAATCCCAAGAAAACCAAAATGGACAAAAAGTAAGCTGCACTGCCCTAACTTCCTTCTAATATCAAGATAAACAACTTAATGAGAATCACAATTTATGTAATGTTGTTTGATTGAGCACCGAATATAAGAAAGAAAGAAAGACAGAATCTTGAGACAGACTAAAAAGGAAAATGCATCCCATAAACTGGGAAAGAGGAGTACTATATTAGGAGTACTCAATACAAATATTCTTTAAATTCTTTCTACAAACAAAAAAGTTGCAATTTTTAGTAGTACTGTAGCATAGGAAAAGAGAGACTAACCAGAGGATGTTTCTGATAAAGTGGTGTTGGAAGCAAGAGTGAATTCTTCTTGTTGAGGAGCGTAGAGAGATGGGTTACGGCCAAAAAGAGTACCACTATAAAAAGAACCTATCATTACTAAAAGGGCTACCATTATCATCTGCCCTGTTTTCCAATCGAAGGCCCTCGAGCTTATCAAAGATCCACCCATTTTTCCCTCTTTCAATTCTCTCACTCCACACGATATGTAGAAAAATGTAGTATGATTTTGGAATGAGATCAAAAGAAGGGGCTCGTGGAAAGACACTCTACACCTTGAGATCGATAGATCTCAGGTTTTTTGTGTTTTCGGAGCTGAACCAGAAGTGAACAGTGTCGAGTGTTCTGTTCTTTCCTCGTAACTTTCCTTTTCCAATTTTATAACCTTCTTTTTCGAAATATATTATTTTCATTACATTTGGGGTCGGGGAAATTGGATAATGGGATTATGTGAACAACGCTTACGCTTATTGTGGGAGCAGACAGGACTCGGTGCATAAATTCATATGATTCGGATATATAGGTTTGATTTTCTAGGAGAATTTTGATAAGTGAAGGTGCATCAAATATAATTAAAAATAATTAAATTATCCGTGCTTGCGCCATTTCGAAATAAAATAAATTGAAGGATTAATAATAAGAAAATGATAGAAATAAAAAAAAAATAAAGAAATTAATGGTAGGAAAGAGGGAGCGAAAAGTAAAAAAAAAAATTAATAGAGGATGGATAACTTTTATATGCATACGGAAGAAAAATTTCTATTCTATCTCATAAATTTATAACAATTAACAATTTAAGTATCTTAAATACTAGAAGAGAAAAGAATAAAAAAAGTGTTAGACTTTTGGGCAATACATTAATCTTTTCCTCATTTTGCCCAAAAAGTCGTTAACATTTTTTATTCTTTTCTCTTCTCCTATTTAAAGTACTTACACTGTTATTGTTAAAAATTTTAGCCTAAAACCTTTATTCCCACATATTCGGTAAAGTATAAAATTAGAAGAAGTGAGATCTACTGATTTGTAAAAGAATATTGACTAGGGTGTGTTTGGTACGTAGGAAAATATTTTCTAGAAAATAAGTGGTTTTATCACTTATTTTTTCTTGTTTGGTTTGATAAGTAAAAGTTTTTTTCGGAAAATATTTTTTTGTGTTTGGTTAGAGAGTAGAATTTTTTTTTTTGGAAAATAAATTTATATGCTACTCTCCTCACCCCCTTCCCCCAAGTCCCCATGTTTCCTGCGCTCCTCCCNTTTATATATGAAATGAAAGAAAATACTTTTTATACATCATGTGTAACCGGTCATTTTGAGTATTGTAGCCCCGTTCCCCTATTTATTGCTTATTCTATGCTCATTTGTTGTTATGTGACTTACCGGAGTAGTTGGTTTGGATTCGGGGATATTTCAGAATGAATTGGGATACTTAGTCCCAAGGTTGGAAGCCTAAGTTGAAAGAGTTGACCGGATGTTGACTTATGTATAAACGACTTCGGAATGGAGTTTTGATAGTTCTGATAGCTCCATATGGTGATTTTGGATTTAGGAGTGTGTCCGGATATTGATTTGGAGGTCCGTAGGTGATTCTGGCTTGAATTGGCAAAAGTTGAAAAAATAAAAGTTTGGAGTGTTGAGAAGTTTGACCGAGAGTTGAATTTATGGTTACCGAGCTCGTATTTTGGTTCTGAATGTTGGAATAGGTCTGTTGTGTCATTTATGACTTGTGTGCAAAATTTGAGGTCAATCGGAGTTGGTTTGATATGTTTCGGCATCGATTATTGAAGTTGGAAATTTATTAGTTCATTAGGCTTGAATTGTGGTGCGATTCGTATTTTTGATGTTGTTTGATGTGATTTGAGGTCTCGACAAAGTTCATATCGTATTTTAGGACTTGTTGGTATGTTTGGTTGAGGTCCCAGGAGCTTCGGGTGGATTTCAGATGTTTAACGGATTGGAATTTGGACTTTGAAGATTACTGATGTTGTAGGTCTGGTTTCCTTAATCGCGATCGCGTAGGAAGGTTCACGATCGCGAAGGCTTAATTGGGCGACTGGTGGAGTTGGTCTACGCGATCGCGAGAAATGGTTTGCGATGGCGGAGTTTTGAGATATTGTGTTACGCGAACGCGGGTGCAGGGATGCGTTTGCGAAGAAGGAAGGGGGGGGGGGGGGGGGGGAGTGGGATTCACACGCTCTGGTTCTTCGCGATCGCGTAAGTTGATCCGCGATCGCGTAGGTATGAGAATTGGGCCACCGCATTCGCGAACCTGAAGGTGCGATCGCATAGAAGGATTTTTGGCCACTGAAAAGTGTGTTCTTCGCGATCACGTGGATTTATCTGCGATCACGATGTGTAATCATTGGGCAACATTATTAAATTTCAAAAACGAGGGGTTTGAACGCGTTTTTCATATTTTGAGCTAGAGACCTCGGATTTGGGCGATTCTTGAAGGGATTTTCAAGGTATTGATTGGGGTAAGTGATCCTAACTCGGATTTGGTTAAGATACATGAATCTATCATTATTTTTACCATTTAATTAGTGTTTTGGATTGGACAAATTGGAAAAAATTATAAAAACTTCATAGACTTAATTTGAGGATTTGGAGGTCAAGTTGAGATTGGAATTTAATAATTTTGGTATGGTTGAACTCGTTGTTGAATTGGTGTTTGAATTTTATTAATTTTTTCGAATTCCGAGACGTGGGCTCGGGGTTGACCTTTTGGGTTGACTTTTTGACTTTGGTTAAAGAACTTAGCTTTATCATTTGGAATCAATTCTTATAGCTTATATTGATAGTATTACATTATTTTTAGCTAGATTCGAGCCTTCCGAAGTTTGATACGTGCGGGAAGGGCTTGCTAGCAAAGTGATTTTATTTGTTTGAGGTAATTATCTTATTTAAACTCGATTGAGGCACTAGTTGCCTGAATTATTGTGATAGCTACGTGCTATTTGGTGCGCACATGCGTGGGAATGAACCCATGTGCGGGCACCAAATTTATTTATTCATGTTCGGGTTGTGCTCGGGCTCTTATAAGCCTAGAATTTGATTGATAAAATTTAAGCTATGATGCTTCGCACATTTGTAACATTGTTGTGAACTATTTGAGCAATGTTTGAGGCTACATAGGGGCTTAAATCCCTGAATGTACTGATAAATGTTATTCTTTGATGAAATTGCAAGTTTGAGTTATAATAGTACACTTGCACATGCCTATACTTTAGCATGTCATTTGTACCAGTCCAGGAGCATGAGGTTTGTTATTCACTCGTTTCATACATGTATACTTGTTTATTTTCTCCTGTGTGATATGATTGGACTGGGGGCCTGTGACTATGCCGGGCGGATTGTTGTTATGCCTGTGACCATACCGAGTGGATTGTATTGTTGGCACATGAGTTGTCCGTGCAGATCCATATATTGATATTATTAGCACGTGAGTTGTCCGTGCGGGTTTTATTATTAGCACGTGAGTTATCCGTGCAGCACGTGAGTTGTCCGTGCAGTGCGTGGATACGAATCCATCCCCCTAAGGTCACCCTCTCATGTTTCTCTCTTGATGGTGTACACGGGGATATTGGAAATACTGATCAGTGGTTTGTAATGGATATGTAAACGTGAGGGAATCTGGCTAGTGTGTTGTTGGATTTTGCATTTCATCTTTACTTGCAATTTCCTTGATCATTTATCCGATTTAACTACTTATCACCTCTATATGCCAAGATATCGTCTGAGCAGAGTATTTGAGAAATTATACATATACACATACAGATGTTTTCTTACTAAACCTGATGATTTGATTTCAATAATGTTCTGTACTGGAATTAAAGATGAAACTACACATGTAATAACTAGTTGATATGTGGGGATTTTGACTGCTTATTAATGCCTTTTAACTTTTCCTTTAGTCTAAAAATATTGAATTATGCTCCCGAAATTAATGAAATTATATAAAATAGCAGAAATGCTGGAAGCTAGGCTCCCGAGATGAAATTTGACTCAAACAGGAGTAGTCAAAGCACAAGGCAACAAGGGGCACATAGGCACACAATGTGCGGTCCACAGAAGGAATTCTGCGACCGCAGAAGAAATTGTGGACCGCAGAATTCCACCTGCTGCTGCAAACAAAGAAGGAAAACTCAGGAAATATTTGTGCAAATTGCGGTCCGCACATGAATTGTGCGGCCGCAAAAGATGGGCTAAAGGTCAAGATCAGAGAGATTGCAAAAAGACCAAGTCCAGAGCTTCAGAGAACTGCAGACCGCACAACATTTGTGCGGCCGCAGAAAATTGTCTTGCGGCAGCAATCCTACTATTGTGCACCGCAAAAGAGTGGCTTGCGGCCGCAGTTCTAAATCTACGAACCGCAGAAATATTGCCTCGTGGCCGCAGTTCAGAATTGTGCGACCGCAGAATCCCAGCTTCTGCCAGATGAAGAAGTCTGCGGACCGCACATGGAATTGTGCGGCCGCAGAACCTCCCGAGGGGTATTTTTGTTCGAGATTTTCAAACTTGTATAAATAGAAGAGTTTCACAAAATTAGGTCAAGTTTTGAGCATCAGCAATTAGTGTAGCCGTTTTTCTTTGCCTCTCTTGGAAGTTTACTATATTTTTGTGTATTTTACAATAGATTTTATTATTTTAAGCCTATATTATGAGTTTAATTAGTCTTTCTTCTTCTTTTTCTTCAAACCCAAGTATGAGTAGCTAGATTTTTACTAGAGTTATGACCCAACCCTAGTATGTTAACCTTATGAGTAATTAAATTAGTGCTTGTTTATGATTGAGTATTTATTATTTAGCCTAGTTCATGCTTTAATTTGAGGAACTAATGGTTGTAAACATTAGTTCATGCCTATTTGACTTAGTCTCCTCTTGAGAAAGATAGACCTAGTCTAGGATAACTTGGCTAACAAGGAATTGGGTCAATTGAGAGATTGATTCACCCAATTAAAGGGTTCAACCTAGAGATAGTAATAACCCGACTTGAGCTTTAATCAACTGTTTTGTGTGATACCCATTTGATCTTGAGAAAGCCAAATTGGGCAAAACCACTCTCTGACCGAGAGGTATTGAGTGGGTAATTTAGAGTTGATAGCTATAATATACCCTAGTCAGCTGAACAAGCATTAAAGTCTTTATCCCATTAGTCAAACACCTAGGCAATAGTCATAACCCTAGGCTTTTTATCAATTTGAAAAACCTCAAAAATAATTATCCTAGTCTTCTTTCTTTATTCTGCAATCTTTAGTGTAAAATTAGAAATAGAAAATAAACCCTTTTGTGGAAGTGTAAATCAAGATAATTCAATCACGTGCATTAAAATATATATACCTCTAACTCCCATCTTAGCTCCCTGTGAATTCGACCCCGACTCATAGTTGGGTTACTAAAATTGCAAACGACTTTTTCATAC